ATTTGCCTTGGAGCCTTGCTCTGATTGAAATCTGCAATCATTTGGTCCATCGGCAGGTCATTCGGCTCATCTGACGTGACCCCCACGCGAGAGTCAAGCCACAGCATCTTGCACTGCGCCTTCTCTACACAAATATGATCTTAGACAACCCATCGATGTCAGCGCACAGAATCATCTGGCGCTGAGTGCGTTTGCTTGCTGTTGCTGTCAACCTTACGGGCCCTTGGCAAACATCAGGCAGCACTGCAACGTTCAGCTTCGGAACCCCCTGGTGCGTTGCGAATCATCTCGCCGGGAGGTGCAATATTATTTCGCTCGTTGGTTGTCAACTGCAATTGTGCAGTCAGGCCCGGATTTGCGACTGTGCCTATGACACTGCCCGCCCAGACTGAAATTGTACATCTCTGACAAGGAGTGAGGTGGGAAGGGGGTGCATGGGTCGGGTCAAGCCTTCGAGTCTCCTCACTGTTTCAACCGTTTCAAGTCTGCACGAGTCGAGCTGAGCCTGCATTGTAAAACAAGCATTCTTAAGCTCGAAACGTGGAGCAGGAAATGCTCTAGGCAATAAGGCAAGGTGCACTTTGTGCACACAGCACATGAACAGAGGGTGCATAACGGAGCACCTACTAGAATGCCAGCTCCCTACAAGGCAGTCGCGAGTAGGAAGGTTTCAAGCGTGTTTCGGCGCTCGCAGTCGGACGGACCAGGCGAGACACATAGTGCTTAGCAATGACGTGCCTTTTTTCCCTCCTACTTGGCAAGGACGAGGCCCGCATTGCAGGGTACTTGGTTGAACAGAGAAAGTTGGCTGAAGCATTGAGCCCACTCGGAATGCATCACAGGCTTCGAACTCTTAGCCACTGACTGGCTAAAAGCTCAAAGGACTACGACTCGTCTTGAGGCAATTCATCCAGCCCATGTGTCGAACACTAGCCGGAAGCTTCGGAAGCCTTACTTCGGTTTCAATGCAAGGCTTATTCCTCCAAGCACGTCTTCAAGGTTTCACGGGTTGTCAGCGAAATGCCGGGAGTTAGCAGGCTGATCGGCCCAAATGCACGTAATGAAGTACAGGTCCAGTAGCATCACTTTTCCGTCTTGCAGTTGGTTTGAGGGTTTGGGGCTGGGAACCTGCTTTCTTCGACTTGCTCATGTTCTCGACATTTCTCGACGGTATCTCGAAGCCTTTCGACAGCCTGCACCTTCTGGCGAGGTTTCTGGGTCAAGTCTCAGAGGGCTTCACGTAGCACCGATACTTGTTGCGGGTGCTTGCAGCTCACGGCCGGCATCATGTTCGAAAAAGGCACCCACTGCCAGGGAGACATGACTCTGCTCTGACAAAGCCCAAGTACAAATGGCACGGCCTCCGAATGGGGACTCCAGTTGCAATGCAGTGAAGTGGATGCACCACCTCAGTCGATCACATCGAACATGCTGCGAGATGTTTCGTCATGAGTCTGCCGTTTTCTCTTGCTGATGCCGCGCGGTTCTTGAACGTGATGCGAAGCCCCGTGAAGACGTCTAAGACTTCTGCAGAAACAAAGTCACCTCGCAACTAATTGGTGGTCAATTGCCAGGAGGTTCAGAAACAAGCCATCTTCTCCCACATGCTGCCCAAGCTGCGGCGAACGACACCCCTGCGCCATTCAACGGCAGAAGCAGCATGCTGGAGAGCAGTGGCCTCAGAGCAAGGCAATGGCTGCGGCAGATCTGGGCCCCTTCCTACGCTGCTGATGCTCTCGACGCATACATAAAGAAGTCGAGGTGGCATCAGGCTCCAGTGGATGATCAGGACAACAATGCTTATCTGAGCAGCAGGACTTTTACCAGAGCTGCCCTTTGCAAGCTTTAACGACGAGACTTCCTGCCTGATGATATGGAAAAGGAAACGGAAAGTCCGCAATCTTGCGCGCATTCTGCAAGTTCACGATTCCGCGAGACATCTCCTGCAATCTCTCTCTATGCAGACTGCAATGGCGGGTGTGAATATGTTGTTTTAAATCGCGCCTGGAACACCCGAGAAATAACAGGAGGAGGGACAGGCAAAATACCGTCGGCCATTCGGAGAACCTCGGGTCATGTCACAGCTACTTTCTGCGCAGCACTGACGGAAGTCTGCACAGCAACAAATACTTTCTTCCAGTTTAGGCGCAACTGACCTTTGGATCCATTGCTGAATGACTTCCTCCCTGTCCTCGATGCCCTGCAAGTACCTGATGCTTCAGGAGGTGTCAGAATATTTGGTCCTCTTGATGCAAACGTCTGTGCCAGCACTGAGCCTCTGACTTCAGGCTGGCCTGAACCCAGGTTCATTGATGGGTTGGCAGACACACACACACACACACAGAGACACACAAAGTCACTGCGGCAGCTAAGGGCAAAAGCGAGCGCGCTGCTTTCTTTTCAAGTTTCGGCGTAGGAATTCACGAACACTGCATGCAACCATGCACAAGTGCAGGTTGTTTCAAGGCTTTGTTGGACGGCTAGCTTGTAGCATTGTTGCCAGGTTGCGATAGCATGGTACGATATACAAAATATGCGTTTCGGCTGCATGGAGCTCCGTTAGTTTGATCCTTCCCCGAATGTGCTCCATGCAGCCAAATTTGGCAATCCACTGTTCTCGTTTGCCCCACCTCACCCCAGCCGCCAAAGACTCAGACAGGATAGGGGGTGGGACCACCACCTGCACCCCCGCAACGCCCTAAGCCCTAAGGCTGCTTTCAAGGCTACTGACTGGAGGCTTCGTGATGTGTTGTGTGGAATTCCATATGCATGTACTTTTGCTCATGTACGTATGATGGGAACTGCTTCTACTCCTGGCGAATGACAGGATTTAGAATATCGGTCATAAGGCTTTGGCAGTGTTGCCCAAACAATGCGATACACACGATAGGATGAGAACGCTGCTGATAAACAGTACGTGAATGGCTTAGAGTCAGAGTTCGTGCAGAGCGCCTTTCTCTGAGACCTTCGCCGCTCCCCGCTGTGTTTCTCTCGCGGTGAACAGTTTAGCCTCGTGCCCCCCCATCATTTACGCACGGCGAACCGGGTGCACGTCCTCCTCAACGCGTTCCATGGGGGGGAAAGCCTTTGGGACATGTCTCTGAACCACGCCAGTACCTGGAGGGAGGCATGTGGGTCGTGTCTCTGAATCCTGGCGGTACATGGGGGAAGCTTGTTGGGTCCCGGTTGGTTCCTCCCGCTCGAAGTCTCCAAAGTTCTGGCAGCGCCGCATCCGCCTCCTCGGAGCTTTTACACAGGTATGTACACTCACACACACACACACACACACACACACACACACACATCACTCACCTTTTACACATGCCAGCATACACTACACTTGTTTGTTCTGCAGGCAGCAACAGAGCAGGCGGACATGCCACAATGCGCAACATCTGGCAGCATGACCCGCAGCTGCCTTCTCCAAGCCGCACGGGTTAAGGATGCTGAAAGCACGATCCGACGGAGAGACTTGCCTGGCTGTCGGGCACGGATCGTCTTGCACGAAGTCTCTCGCACCAAGTGACTGCCAATTAATCAAGTCAGCCAAGCTGTAGCGCACAGCAGTACAAGAGCGACATCAAGCGAGCTAGAAGATGATGAAACTCTTCCACCTCCGTTGCGGGAGACGATGTCACGCGAGAAATGTTCGGATGCCATGCCTTGGCTTGCAGCTCGACCTTGCCAGAACCTGGAAGGAGGTCAAGAGAGCTCGGATGCGCCCCATGTAAGCCGAGGAAGGTGCTGAAAGCGATCAGGCTGCTGTATGCGTTAAACCTTGGAGCGTACCCCAGTCACAACTCGGTCATGCCTGGGGGTGAGCTTTCACGTGCTTGCAATCCAGCAACCACTCTCCGCGTGTCTTTTGCAGCAGAGTTCCACCCTCCCACCACCGATCATACGCAATTTGAAGGCGTGCAGTAAGAATGAAGATCCTGAGTGGAAATGGCCAGCATGTGCCCGAAGACACCGACACCCACCGGTCCTCCACGCAACTGGCAAATAAGCTTCTGGCATGACAGCCGTAAATGTTGCCGCGAGGAGACTGGGCAGGCAGACTTCTAGCATTCACAGCAACTCACATGGGCAAGGAAGTGGAAGCCGAGGCGTCAAGGACTGAGCAGTCAGCACGACCGAATCTGTAATCTCAGCATCTCGTGGGCTAGCACCTTCTGCAGCTAGCAGAAGCGACACCTGACAGATCCCTGGGCAAAATGAAGTCATGTCTGCGACGAGGGTCGCCCTGAGAACAACACCCCATAGGTAAGTACTGCATTCCTCGGCTCGTGAGGCAGGGCTTTGCGAGAAGGCCAACCTTGCAAAGCCTGGGCCTATACGAATTGAGAGCTCATTATTTTCTCAACCTGGCATCGGCAGAGCCATGGCCAATGCCCGCGGAAGGACTGAGGCAGACAGACCCAGCAAAAGGGAAAAACCCCACCTCAGTCAATTTAGAGACGTCAGCAGAAGAGAATTCGCTGAAGCATTTGCCTCGGGCACCCTACTTGCCACTTTCGTAGTATCTCATCTCACTCACAGCCTGGTCAATTGCAACGGATGGTGCCAATGGTGCGATGCCATCGCATCTTCGGTCGTCGGTCTCAAGGCCGAGACTGAAGAAGCATCGGCCGGCAGTGCAACTGCAGCTGACGTCATGAGCATCTTTATGTGGAGAGTTTGCAAGCAAATTGCAGCCTTCCCGTGGGTCAGAAGCTCACGAATCCTGCCATGCCAATCGCATCATGGCGTCATGGCGTCATTCTGGAAGCTTCGATCACATTGTATTTACGTTGAGCTGCCTGAACTACCAATCTGTTGTCTGACTCTTGTTCGTGGCTGTGCAGCTATGCAATGCCCAAAGCTCGCCTGACCGTTTCTAGACTCACCGTACCCTGAACCCTCTGACTGAACCTTTGCAGGTCATGTCAACACAACCAGAGGCACACATGCTTCGTGGCAGTCGCCCGCATGAGGATGCACACGGCAGCCTTTGTGTAACCTCACTGCCGAAGCCTAGAAATTCCTGGTATTCCGCAGGGTACCTCTCTCGCGTAGGCCATGTATTCATCCCCAAAGAATTGTAGCAGCATCTCCTCTTCGTGCGGAATCCTGCCCGCGAAGAAGCGGAAGGAGACCCATGCGTAGCAGAAGATGCAGACAGGGTTGATCAGAAGCATCTGGGTGGAAACGCTCCACAGAAACCATCCAACGTATCCAGGATGCCTGCACCAGCCATACACCTGGTTTCCGGCCCTTCCCCCACATCATATCATGGACAGAAGGACTGCGAGCACTTGGCTCTTCTCTAGACAAGCCGAACAGCTCTTCTTCGAAAACCTAAAGGAGCACAACCAAAGCCAAAAACTTGTAGGCGGACATTGTGCAGATCAAGATGCTCCATGCTGCACAAGTCTGTGGGATGGATCCTTGTAGTGGGCGACAAGGTGAGTGAAGTTTGATCTCGCAGTGAAGAGTGCAGCCTTGATCTGAATAGCCACATGAAATAGGCAACTTGTGAACACATGAACTTAAACGAACTCAGAACCTCATCTTGGTGCTCGCTATCAGGGCCACGTGCCGGGAGCTTCGTTTTTGCGTGTTTGGGAGTGGGCAGAGAACCCGACAAAAACCCAGCAGCAAGGGACCTGAAGAACTCCAGTTTCTAACTGCGGGGCTTATTCCGAGGAGCACGCTACAGAAAGGACTCTGCGAATTAGGTGTGAAATGCTCCTGGTCATTGCTCTTGCTTGCTCCTGCAAACAGGCTGTGATGTCAGCTTTACTTCTGGCTGTCCATGTCGTTGGCTCTTGTTTCAGGACCGAACCACCTACGACATGTGGTGATGTGTGGGCTCGAGAAGTCCAAGGCACTGTCCTCAACGACCAGCCAGCAAGGACAAGCCCTGCACCCAGCGCGGTCAAGCCTCCCACGATGAAGCCTTCTGGCAGTGCACAAGACCTCTTTGGATCGGCATTGGAGTCCCCGGAAGCCCCGGCCCTGGCCCACCGCCCGGCACGATCTGTACAAGGCGAGCCCACGCGACTCGAGGCGATGCGCGGTCTTCCTATAGTGAGCTCCAGAAGCGGCACGCAGAAGGTCAGAATGATCACGATAGCACGCAGATGCATTGATGAAACTGTGGGGTCTGAACGCTCATCTGATGCTCTCGGGGGCACTGATACGAACCCACGCACCGGTTTCCCCTCATGTAGCAATGAAATCGCGTTCTGCTCCTTCTCCGTCCGCGCGTTAGGAAAATCTCGAAATCCTATAAACTCGCTCTGCTGTACTGGCAGAAGCCTTTGACGTCGTCCTGCCCTGTAGACTGCCGGCACACACAATCACAAGGAGGCGCTGAACGGCATGACTGCACCATACGACAGCATCGTCTGGCGACACACTCTCAGGCCTGGGAGGGCGATCCCCGATGCGCGCCACAGCCAGAATTCACACATTGCCGCAACGATGGCCACGCTGTAGCCAGCTGCAGGCACAGGCGCGAGGAGGAAGCAGCGGAACTCCTTGGCTGCATGGTCCTAAACACCTGCCGTGGCAGCCATGGCCCATCAATCGGACATGGACGAACTTTGGGTGTGCGAACTGGGTGCAATCGTCTTGCTGTGGCAAAGAACGGAGAAGGCGAACTCAGTTGCATGGAACAGAGTGACGGCCACAAAGAAGAGGGGCCTTCCACGCGCACGATTTGTGGTTCAACTCATCCTACTGGGTCGCTACACAGACGACGATCTCACGAAAAGCCACTGTCAAGCACAGTCGCATTCGCGGATCTGCCATCCTGAAGCTGGGATTAGGAGGGCCACGAAACAGCCAACTAATAGTAAAAGCTTCAGCACGGATAACAAGTGATGAGGATGACACAAACATAGCACAAGAAGCAAACTCCAACTCCACAAGAAAGCGCTCCTACCCCCCCCGCCACCACCACCACCACCACGACTGCTACTACTCATAACTGTTGTCACCCACATGGCACACCTCTGACAGCTCCGCAGGGACCTAACTGGTAAACCGGTACTACTCATTCTAATACTAATAGCAAGCATTACCTGTTTCCTCCTAGCTTTACCCCTCAAGGACCCAATCAGCTGGTGGAGCACCAAACATTGGTGCAGCTGCGGAGAGAGAAATGAGCATCAGAAATCTCGTGGCTGCTGCTTAGTATATTATGATTTGATCTTCAATAGTTGAACCAATAGACTTAGAATTTGATAGCCTCTCGTGCTACGCAAAACTTTTCGGAGAAATGCAGCCAGTGCTGTCTGGGGCGACCACATCCGTAGTTTCCATTGTCAACTCTACAAGCATTGTCCCGTAAAAACGAAATTTGTCGCATCTTCGTCTCCTGATGTAAGCTCATGTCCCATTTGGCCCCAAGCTCTTGATGGTAATTGCTAAATTCTTGGTGCCCCCAAGGGCGTCCGGCTTGGTGTTCACGGTTCGGCCCGGGATGCGCGGCCATGAGGGCGACTGCTTTCAGGTCGCGCTCTGTCTTTCCTGGGGTGCCCCAGGCTCTGTTGTGTGCCTCTGCGGCTTTGCTGGCAATGTTGGCCATGTCACCGAGCTGCTGGTATGCATGATCAGCTGTGTCCTCGCCTTGCTCTGCCCCTTTCTTGACGGCTTTCAGGAGGTCTTCACCGAGTTCTTCCGCTCGGCATGCCAAGTTTTTCTCCCTTGTGGACTTGTCCCCACACTCCCTGGCCCACGTTATGGAGTGAAAAAAGGCGTGTGCCCTCCATGAAGAGGGCTCACAGCTCTTGCATGTCCTCAAGAAGGTGCTCTGTTGGCACCCTGTGTGGGCCTGAGTTTTCTATGAGCTGCTGCATGCACTCAAGGACGACCTGGGCCAGTGCCCCTGCTGTCTGGTGCGGATTTGGTGGTGGCGTCCTGTCCTGTAGTTGGTGCCCGCAATGTCCAGCCAGGTTGAGGCTGCAGGCTGACGAGTGCTTGTTGAGCGTGGTCGCGGATGTCTCCATCTGTCGGTGGTTTGTAGCAGTTGGAGTAGGCGCCTCCTTGCTCTTGCTATGCCTTCTGGGGTGGTGACCGCTGCAGCTTGGCGCCTAAGCTCAAGCAGTCAACGCATGACGACGATGTCAACTAAGCTCCAGTAGAGAAGTCGACATTCGACCACTCAGTACAAAAACTAAGAAATCAATCGGGTGCCAGCCATGTGATTAGTTAGCCCATGGCCACAACTACGCAACAAGCACTCACTCAAGGCTCACTTCTCACACTCGGCTCGATGCTTCGGAAGATGGCTGGCAGAGTGCTGGAGAAAGCCTGGGCGCCCATTGTTCATGTGCGTGTGTCGGGCTCTGGCTCGGAGAGTAAGTCATGACCTTAGCATCCAATCATTGGCATCCGAAAAAACGAAAAGAGAGAATGTAGCATCCCGATCACACCGCCGATTTTGTAGTCGATCGTTCTATGCCCCGTCTATGCTCGAGATAATCGCCTCCTTCAGGCGTGAATCACATCATCGAGGTGAAAAACATGCTACCTCTGCACATCCTCGGTACTCGGGTTTTTGTACTGGCCGATATGAAACGTCAGCAACACCAGTCTAGTTCCCCGCCATGGCATCGTCGCGTGTGGCACATGTAGTGAGAACAAGCCTGAGGACAAGACAGCCTCCTGTGTCGGGCCTGCAGCAGGCAGAGAGCGCAGTGGCACCTTGATCATCCGCAACGAAGAGCTGTCCTCCCTGGAAGCTAGAGCACGGCAGCGCAAGATTCCAGAAACCCCTCAGATTCCGAGCATCCTTGTGAAGTTCGGCAGCTGTGTTCTGCGACAAAACACATGTCGTGAAAGTCAGGTCCTCATTCCAGGTGCTAGCGATCCCCGCCAAAGCCCGCGTGACCCAGGGATAGCGAAAGGAGTTTTGCATGACACCGGCCATGTTTCCGAAATTCCACGCGTACTACTACTACTACTACTACTACTACTACTACTACTACTACTACTACTACTACTACTACTACTACTACTACTACTACTACTACTACTACTACTACTACTACTACTACTACTACTAGCCGACAGCCTGCTCCTGTGACCCCCTTATCTGGGCCTACAGTGCCTACAACACCAAGAAGCTGAGAATTGTGAGCACTTTAGAGGAGCAGGCGGGCGACGACGACGACTACGGCAGGCGGTGGAGTCCTACTACTACTACTACTGCTACTACTACTACTACTACTACTACTACTACTACTGCTACTACTACTGTAGAGGGGCTGGCAGTGGAGTACTACGTTACTGTAGAGGAGCTACTGCTACTTTAGAGGGTAGGTGGGACGACTACCAAAGCCAAGCCAAGCCAGCCCAAGCCAACCCAAGCCAAACCATTTGAAAAGAGAACTCCTTTCACCATTGTGTCAAAGGAAAACCCAATCTAATAGTAAGACCCTCTCTAATAGGAAACCGTATCTAACATTAACACCGTATCTAATAGGAAGACCCTATCCAATAGTAAAACCCTATCTAATAGGAAAACATAGGATTACACCAGCGAAGACCCCAAACAGAATGCATCGAATCATACCGGTTCAAGTTGGAATATGTTGGATCCTAATCTGGCTTCGCTAGCAGATTTTGCGAAGAAGAATTAGGGATTGGGCGATATATTTCTGCGAAAGAAGAGTGGGTGGTGGGGCTCCAGCATGTGGGAAGGTTTTTGGGAGGGTCCAGGACGTATCGTTCAGAGGATCTTGCTGTAACACTATGCACGGAAAATATGCACATTTCTCCCACAACTGCCATATTATATTGTTGCCGACAGGATCCCTGGCCTCTGCTACAAACGTTCGCGGATGAAGTGCAAAAGAGCTTGGTGTTCGCTTCGGTTGGTTATCGGACGGGAAGAAAACGAGAACTTTGCCGTGCATGTTTGGCAAGAAAAATTAAAAGGGATTTGTCGGCTTACAAGGCAAATAAAAAGCTCTCTTAACACGGAACCATTCACGTTTTCTCTGTTGTCCGAACGAAGAGTATTGTCCATAGGATTGTGTTGCCGCAGGAACCGTACAAAGAAAAAAATTCAATTTCTCGACAAGTTTCATAACATTGCCGTTTTGTAAAGCAGGATTCCTTGCCTCCGCTGTAGATATTGGAGGAAGGAGCACAACAGAGGTTGCTATATGGATCGGTTGATTGTCGCACGGGAGAAAAGTGTGAAGTTTGTCGCGCAATTTTGGCGAAAAGAAACGCGCACAGGGTGCGTCGACTTTCAACATAAAAGAAAAATCTTTCTTTATACGGAACCATTCACGAGTTTTTCCACAGATCGAACGAAGATCCATAGAATCTAACTACTATAGAAACCACGCACGGAAAAATTCAAGATATGTGGTCTCTGCGGTAAATGTTTGTGGAAGAAGCGCGAAGCAGGTTGGTATACGGATCGATTGGCGGCCGCCCGGGAAAAAACAAGATTCTTGCGGCGTAATTATGGCGAAAAGAAAATCAAATGGATTTGTCGGCTTATAAGGCAAATAAAACTCTTTCTTTATACGGAACCATTCACGATTTTGTCCGTAGGCCGAACAAAGATCCATAGGATCTTGCTGCCGCAGCAACTACGCAAGGAAAAAACACGTAACATTGCCGTTTTGCGAGATAGGGTATGTGGCCTCTGCTATAGATGTCTGTGGAAGAAGCGTAAAATAAATTGATATATAGATCGGTTGGCTGCCACACGGGAAAAGATAGGAACTTTGACTTGGTAAAAAGAAACGCAAAGGCGTTTGTCGGCTTATATCGCAAACTCAAATCTTTCTTTTTACGAAACCGTTGACGATTTTTTCCGCCGACGAAATGAAGAACGTCGTCCACAGGATGTTGCTGCCGCAGAAACTACGCACGGAAGAACACACAACCTTCCCGCAATTATTACAACATTGCTGCCTTGCAAGATAGGATACCGGATAGGTTGGCTGTCGCACGGGAAAAAAAAGGGAACTTTGCAGCGCAAACTTGGTGAAAAGAAGACCGCATAGGGGGATAGGTCGGCTTACAAGACAAAATAAATATCGTTCTTTACACGGGATCACTGACGAATTTTTCCACAGACCGAACGAAGAACTTCGTCCACAGGATCTTACTTCCGCAGAAACCACACATGGAGAACACACACACACACATAACTTTCCTGCAACTGAATTAAATCGACCCTCAACAGCAGCACAATGATATTGGGGTAGGATTATCGGGCAAGCCAATGAAACCTAAAAGGGAAGCCCATCCCGAAGAGGAACACAAGCTGCAAGTGTACCTCTTTTCTCATTACTTGAGCCAAAGATCATTTCATTGGCATATTAAGCTACATAGTCAGATATATTACCTATATAGGGATAGGGAACGTCGTATTCGACTAACTAACTATTACAAGATTGCTGCTTTGCAAAACAGGATACCTGAATTTTACTGCAGATGATTGCGGAAGAAGCACGAAGCAGGTTGATATACGGATCGGTCGCCTGTCGGACGGAGCAAATTGGAAACTTTGCCGTGAAAATTTGGCAAAAAGAAGTGCGAAGAGATTTGTCGACTTCTAAAACGAACGAAAATCTTCTTTTGCACGGAATCATTGACGTTTTTTCCGCAGACCGAACGAAGAGCGTCGTCCATAGGATCTTGCGGCAAGTTTCCCGCAAATGTCATAACCTTATCGTTTTTCAAGATATCATACTTTGCCTCTGCTGTAGACGTTCGTGGAAGAAGCACAAAAGAGATTAGCATACGGATCGGTCGGCTGTCTCACGGGAAAGACGGGCAACTTTGCCGCACAAATAGGGCAAAAAGAAAAGCGAAGGAGTCGGCTTACATCGCAAACAAATATTTTCTTTACACGGAACCATTGGCAATTTTTTCCGCAAACCGAACGAAGAACGTCGTCCGCAGGATCTTGCTGCCGCAGCAACTACGCAAGGAAAAAACACGTAACATTGCCGTTTTGCGAGACAGGATATATGGCCTCTGCTGTAGACGTCTATGGAAGAAGCGTAAAATAAATTGATATAGAGATCGGTTGGCTGCCACACGGGAAAAGATAGGAACTTTGCCGCGCAAACTTGGTAAAAAGAAATACAAAGGCGTTTGTCGGCTTACATCGCAAACTCAAATCTTTCTTTATACGAAACCGTTGACGATTTTTTCCGCCGAAAACGAAGAACGTCGTCCACAGGATCTTGCTGCCGCAGAAACTACGCACGGAAGAACACACAACCTTCCCGCAATTGTTACAACGTTGCTGCCTTGCAAGATAGGATACCGGATACTTGGCCTCTGCTGTAGACGTTTGTGGAAGAAGCTCAAAAGATATTGGTTTACGGATCGGTTGACTGTCGCACGGGGAAAAGTGGGAACTTTGCAGCGCAAACTTGGCGAAAAGAAGACCGCATAGGGGTGTGTCGGCTTACAAGGCAAAATAAATATCGTTCTTTACACGGGATCACTGACGAATTTTTCCACAGACCGAACGAAGAACTTCGTCCACAGGATCTTACTTCCGCAGAAACCACACATGGAGAACACACACACACACATAACTTTCCCGCAACTGAATTAAATCGACCCTCAACAGCAGCACAACGATATTGGGGTAGGATTACCGGGCAAGCCAATGGGAAGCCCATCCCGAAGAGGAACACAAGCTGCAAGCGTACCTCTTTTCTCATTACTTGAGCCAAAGATCATTTCATTGGCATATTAAGCTACACAGTCAGATATATTACCTATATAGGGATAGGGAACGTCGTATTCGATTAACTAACTATTACAAGATTGCTGCTTTGCAAAACAGGATACCTGAATTTTACTGCAGATGATTGCGGAAGAAGCACGAAGCAGGTTGGTATACGGATCGGTCGCCTGTCGGACGGAGCAAATTGGAAGTTTTGTCGTGAAAATTTGGCAAAAAGAAGTGCGAAGAGATTTTTCGGCTTCTAAAACGAACGAAAATCTTCTTTTGCACGGAATTATTGACGATTTTTCCGCAGACCGAACGAAGAGCGTCGTCCATAGGATCTTGCGGTAAGTTTCCCGCAAATGTCATAATCTTATCGTTTTGCAAGATATCATATTTTGCCTCTGCTGTAGACGTTCGTGGAAGAAGCACAAAAGAGATTAGCATACAGATCGGTCGGCTGTCTCACGGGAAAGACGGGCAACTTTGCCGCACAAATAGGGCAAAAAGAAAAGCGAAGGAGTCGGCTTACATCGCAAATAAATATTTTCCTTACACGGAACCATTGGCAATTTTTTCCGCAAACCGAACGAAGAACGTCGTCCGCAGGATCTTGCTGCAGCAGAAACCACGCACAAAAAAAAAAAAAAAAAACTATTACAGCATTGTTGCCTTGCAAGACAGGATGCCGGATACCTGGCCTCTGCTATAGACATTTATGGCAGACCAGGCGCCCAGAAAGGAAGTATTAAGGGAACCTAACGGGACCTTTGCCGCGACTCACCCATCCAATCCAGGAGCCCAGAACGGAAATATGAAGGGAGGTAAACGGGATTGCCGCGACCTAAGGAAATATGAAGGCAGCCCAACGGGAGTCCAGGGCCAACCCAGCAGCCCACAAAGGAAATATGAAGGGAGCCCAATGGGAGTCCAGGCAGCCCACCCGTCCAACCCAGGAGAGGGAAGTAAATGGGAGCCCAGATTCTTCGCCGCGGCCCACCCGTCCAACCCAGAACCCCAGAAAGGAAACATGAAGGGAGCCCAATACAGCCCAGGTCCTTTGCCGCGACCCACCCGTCCAACCCAGGAGCCCAGAAAGGAAATATGAAGGGAAATGAATGGGAGCCCAGGTCCTTCGCCGCTCTAACCCAGGAGCCCAGAAAGGAAGTATGAAGGGAGTCCAATAAAGTCCAGGTCCTTTGCCGCGGTCCACGCGTCCAACCCAGGAGCCCAGAAAAGAAATATGAAGGGAAGTAAATGGGAGTCTAGAACCTTCGCCGCGGTCCCCACGTCCAACCCAGGAGCCCAGAAAGGAAATATGAAGGGAAACATGGGAGCCCAGGTCCTTCGCCGCGTCCCACCCGTCCATTCCAGAATCCCAGAAAGGAAACATGAAGGGAGCCCAATACAGCCCAGGTCCTTTGCCGCGACCCACCCGTCCATTCCAGGAGCCCAGAAAGGAAATATGAAGGGAAGTGAATGGGAGCCCAGGTCCTTCGCCGCTCCATCCCAGGAGCCCAGAAAGGAAGTATGAAGGGAGTCCAATAAAGCCCAGGTCCTTTGCCGCGGCCCACGCGTCCAGCCCAGGAGCCCAGAAAAGAAATATGAAGGGAAGTAAATGGGAGCCTAGAACCTTCGCCGCGGCCCCCACGTCCAACCCAGGAGCCCAGAAAGGAAATATGAATAGAAATGAATACAGCCCAGGTCCTTTGCCGCGACCCACCCGTCCAACCCAGGAGCCCAGAAAGGAAATATGAAGGGAAGTGAATGGGAGCCCAGGTCCTTCGCCGCTCCAATCCAGGAGCCCAGAAAGGAAATATGAAGGGAGTCCAATAAAGCCCAGGGCCTTTGCCGCGGCCCACACGTCCAGCCCAGGAGCCCAGAAAAGAAATATGAAGGGAAGTAAATGGGAGTCTAGAACCTTCGCCGCGGCCCCCACGTCCAACCCAGGAGCCCAGAAAGGAAATATGAAGGGAAATGAATGGGAGCCCAAATCCTTCGCCGCGGCCCACCCGTCCAACCCAGGAGCCCAGAAAGGAAATATGAAGGGAAGTGAATGGGAGCCCAGGTCCTTCGCCGCGTCCCATCCGTCCAATCCAGGAGCCCAGAAAGGAAATATGAAGGGAAGTGAATGGGAGCCCAGGTCCTTCGCCGCGTCCCACCCGTCCAATCCAGGAGCCCAGAAAGGAAATATGAAGGGAGCCCAATCGGATCCCAGCCAGTTTGCCGCGGCCCAGCCATCCAACCCACCGCGGTCCACCTTTTTTCTGAGGAGAGAACCCCAAACCGTACCTGTTTGGGGAAAAACCCTATCTAATGATAAGACCGTATCTATCCAGAAAACCCTATGCAAGAAGAAAGCTTTTATGAAACAGGAACCAGTCGGGAAACAAAGCAGTGTGCATTGTGCAGAGACAGATGCACTGAAATGAAAGCCGCATGAAACAAAAGAGGCGAGAGGGGGGTCACAGGAGCAGGCTGTCGCTTATTACTACTACTACTACTACTACTACTACTACTACTACTACTACTACTACTACTACTACTACTACTACTACTACTACTACTACTACTACTACTGCTACTGCTACTGCTACTGCTACTACTACTGCTACAGTACTACTACTACTGACTACTGCTACACTACTACTACCACTGCTACTACTACTACTACTACCACTACTACGACGACGACGACTACTACTACCACTACTACTACTACTACTACTACTACTACTACTACTACTACTACTACTACTACTACTAATACTAATACTGCTACTACTACTACTACTACTACTACTACTACTTCTACTTATACCTCTACTTCTACTTCTGCCACCACCACGACGACTACTACTACCACTACTATTAAGTACTACTACTACTACTACTACTACTACTACTACTACTACTACTACTACTACTACTACTACTACTACTACTACTACTACTACTACTACTGACTCCTGCCTGACTCCTGCTGCTACTACTGCTGGGTGTCACTACCACTCTTGCTACTGGTACTGCTACTGATACTGGATTGAGGCGACCACAGGCGCAGCAGACTTCAAAGCAGACGCAGGGGGGTGGTGGTACGTCCCTTTCAGCAGTGCGGGGGGGGGATGGGGGGGTAGTCCACCCCCCCTTCAGGCTGTAGCAGCAGAGACCAGGTTATGGGGCAAGCTGCTGGAGACTTTCGAGCTTGCAGAGCATAGTTGCGCAACATGTATTGCAAGATGCCACTTTCCATGATTTGTTCTGCTGCAAGCGAGCGGGAAAGGCCGCAGAAGCCAAATGCTTTAGACAAAACCGAGGGCTCCTGTGAAGAGTGATACTTCCAGTGCCCTTTCAAATTTGGATCCTGACAACCTTTTCTGCTGATCCTGATTATTATTGTTGATACACATGCCGTCAACGTTATCGTCGTGGTGCGCAGTGGTAGTGGTAATGGTCATAATACTGTGCTGGTAGTGGTTCGTGGCAGCGGCAGTGGCAGCGGCAACGGCAGGGCAGCGGCAGCGGCAGGGCAGGGGCAGGGCGCAGGGACTGCGCAGGGGCAAGGGGCAAGGGCAGGGGCCGGGGCAGTGGTAGTGGCAGTGGTAGTTGTCATGGTAGTGGTAGCAAGGGCCACTGCAAGTGCATACCGAGTATCGAAACTCCACCCAGCCCACAGCCCATGAAGCATCCCAGCAAGCCGCAGATGGAGCCCAAAACCATCAACGAGTTTGCCTCATTGGGAGGGACGTCCACAGCTGCTATTTAGTTGGGTTGCCGATATCAACATAAACGCGCCTCGTCGGGAATCATATTGACAGCCAAGAAAAAGGATGCCTCAAGACTTGTCGTGATGACCCCAAGCTTGTGTCATCGCTGCACTCCACACGCACTGTTCATCGCGTTCACACAGCCACGCACCAGCACGGAAGCTGAAGCTGGAACTTCACCGAGCTACTGCCAGCAACGAAAGCAGTCCCTGACCAAGACCGCTCAACGTTGTATAGCCTGCTGTCAAGCACATGACATGCGAGCTAGGACTGCCAACACATCGGTTTCAAATTCAACAGTCACCCCGTTCTTCAACAGATATCGGGTCACCGTTCGCCCTCTCTTCATGGTCAGACATCCGGAAATCCTTGCAATAGTTCTGAAACTGCTAAGCAGCCAATCGCCAGGCCGAGAAGACCAAAAGCAGGCCCTGCATATTGGATCCTGGGCTGGCATGCTTCAAAGATGCAAACCACACACTAACCTCTAATGCAAAGTTAGTCAGAAACTGCTGAGACTTCACAAAGACACTGCCGAGCTCGGCTAGATGCCATGACTCCAGAAACTTCGTCTTCCAACATGCACGAGTTGGCCAAGTTAGCAAAGGCGTGTCTGCACTGGTGGAAGGGCTGCTTTGACCGATATGATGCCGTAGGTTTGCTGCAATTTGGATCTTTTGCCATTACACTGGCATTACACGACTGCGGCTGCTGCACGAACACGAAGCAAGCAATTCGATGAGCAAGGATCGGAAAAACCCAGTTGGATGGCGGTATCTGACTGTATGATTTGTGGCTTCCGAGCTGTGGCTACCAAGCTGGCTTTGCTGCGCCTGGGGGCATATGCAGTTCCGACACCGAGCCGAATAGGCTGGCTTCATTGGGTGTGCTCAGGCCCCTATACCCTTGCTTGCATGCGGACAAGGGCGTGCAGGCGTGGGGGATTCTCTCTCGCTCTCTCTCGCTCTGTGTGTGGCTTTCTCGTCTTTATTAGCACAGCCAAAAAAAATAGCAGCACTCTCATCTCCCCCCTCGCCTGAGCCAGCACAATTTGACAATAGTTCCGCATTCTGTGTGAGACGGCCATGATGCGCACACGCACACGCACACACGCACACACACACAAACACACACACACACACACACACACACACACACCCACCAACCCACCCACCCACCCACCCAACCACCCACCCACCCACCCACCCACCCACCCACGCACGCACGCACGCAGCGCACGCACGGACACACACACACACACACACACACAGAGACAGACACACAGACACACACACACACACACATAGTCACACACACACACACACGGAGAGACAAACACAGAGAGAGGGAGAGAGAGAGAGAGAGAGAGAGAGAGAGAGAGACCCACCCACACGCCCCACGCACACACGCGCCCACGCACGCCCATGCACACGCACACACGCACACACGCGCACACGCACACGCACACGCACGCGCACACGCAGACGCACACCCACGCCCACATCCACACCCACACCCCACACCCCACACCCACACCCACACTCACACCGGCCCACACCCACACCCACACCCACACCCACACACACACACACACACACGCACACACACACACGCACACTCACACACACACACACACACACACAGACACCCACCCACCCACCCACCCACCCGCACCCACCCACCCACCCACCCGCACCCACCCACCCACCCGCACCCACCCACCCACCCGCACCCACCCACCCACCCACCACCACCCACCCACCCACTACCCCCACCCACCACCCACCCACCACCACCACCCACCCACCCACGCACGCACGCACGCACGCACGCACGCACGCACCCGCACACACACACACACACACACACACACACACACACTCACACACGGACACACCCACACACAAGCACACACTCACACATCTACGCACGCACACACGCACGCACACACGCACGCACGCACACACGCACGCTTACGCTTACGCCCACGCTCACGCACACGCACATCAGACCTCCTGATCTGAGATGTCGTCGGTGATGTGGCTCTTTTTGTGCATCTCACTTTTATGGCTTGTCTAGCTTTGTATTCTGCTGCTTTGCCACATTTTGCCACTGTTCAGATTTCAGGACTCAAGGCTCACATCCACTGCATAAATGGCATGTCAAGACTGTCTGGCAGACAAAACACTTCATGACTGTTCGTGATTCAAGCCTCACCAACGCTCGAGTTCTCAAGCTGCCATGCAGTGACCCGTGAGCAACTCATTGCAGGTACACGAGGGTGATCGGCTCTCGCTTCCCACTCATGTCCACGGCTTCGTTGCATATATGGCAGGACATGAGTGCACACGACCCTGCCCATTCGCTCAATGCTCATGTATACAAGAGTTTTGGCCCCCCCTCAAGCATATCCTTCTGCTGCCTCAGCTCAGCTTTCCCCGGGCACTTGTTTCACCACCACCGCCACCACCGTCACGCTCCAAAAACACGTTCGCTGCTGGAAGTTTTGCTTTTGCTGTTGTCGTGTCGCCGTACTCCGTGTGCCAAGGCAGTGCCAAGGTCGTTGAGAGATTCCAGACAAGGCGTGTTGCAGAACGAGTCTTCGCTGCAAAAAGAAGCTTCCCCCCCTTTGCTGGCAAAGGGCCAGCAAACCAACCAAGCTGGAGATGCTTAGGCAAAAATATCTCTCTGTGGTGTCCTCTGCGGTGGACTCCGACAAAGTCCCGCAAAGGGATCCGAAACCAGGAATTGGGCTCCAGTTACAAACGCAACTCTGAGTGTGATCCCCTTCCTTTCCACATCCGCTGAGCAGTCCGTCTTCTACTTCGGTACAGTAGGCTTTCCTTCTGCTGGTAGACACAAGACTCAGGAAGACATGCCTGAAGCTTCAAGCCTGCTTGGCGTCAGCGATTTGCGCAGCACGTATAGTACTATGCAGTCTCAGCATTAATGATCTCAAGCTTTCTTGGACGCCACGGCTTCGCTTGTGCACTGTCTCCAAAGAGTAAAAAAGCTTTGGTGCCATGCAGATGGATGCAGGCAGCGTCCATATGGACGGCTGTCTGCTGCCGGCCCAGAAACGAGGGCAGTCTATGAACATGCAATCAACGCTTTGTTTGGAAGGAATGAACAGGTGACACTGATGCAGCATCGCTTGCGGAGGCATTGACTTCTTGCTGCGCTGCTCCCCGCATGGCTTTGTCTATCGAGCTTCCTCGATTTACATTTCTTGCAGCCTTTTCTTCAGACGCGTGCTGTCTGCGATCATGCCCGGGTTGCTCCTCATGTCCGGCCTCTCTCCGGTGTAGTAGTTCTTGTGCGTCGTCACCTGATGCAGCACAAAGGACACCACAAGGCCACTGACCCTGAGTGGTAAGTTGCCGGCGAATCGTCTCTTGTGGACGCAGAACTTGTCTCGGAACTCGATGGTGGACGCATTCCTTGGCATTGTCGGAACAAGCAAGCAGCTTGCAGCAGCACGGAAGGTTAGGCAACGTCTAGAGCACTCATAGCGGTGCCGACTGAGCATCAGTAAAGACCCAGAAGGCGAAATCGTCTACATGCCAAGATTGTAAATACTACTATCCCCCCCGGCAGTCCTAGAGGTCCTCGAGCTCACATGCCCGTCTTCAAAAAGCCCATACCACTCACACCAACGACGTTTCGCTGTGATCCCCAGCTTCCTGCGGCTCGAAGATTAACTAAGCCACGGTCCCGGGGCTCGGCTCTCCATGCCGATATTTCATCTCGCGGGCTCGCACATGCCACTGCCACGAATTCGCTCTCAACAGCACTTTGGTCGTTCTACGAGCACGTTCGCTGCTCGCAAGAGCGATGGATCTCGAAAGGGACAGCGATCTCCCGCTCGCCAACACTGCTAGCATCGCAATCACAAGTGGCAGTCATTGCAAACACCGTTAGCTTCTTATTTCTGCGGAGGCCAACAATCTTAGCTCTCGACCTCCTGACACTCGCAACACTCCGGAAATACGTTCTCTCGCTCTTTCTTTCGCCAGGGCTATGGTGTAGGAGATTTGTTCTCTTTCTCTCTCGCGCTCTCGCTCTGAAGCTCTCTCTCTCTCTCTCTCTCGATTGAGATGCCTTCAGGTTGCTGTAAGCTCTCGCCAACTTCGCGGCTCTCCGTATCGTTGCAAGTGTTGCGGGTCTTGAAGGCAAGGCTGCCAAACATTGCCAAACACTTCCGCGATTGCAAACAGAGTGGGGTCGTGGTTGAGAACGCAGGAACAAGTTCCTGCTATGTTCAAGTGAGGCCACCACTAAAGCTGCATCCTCAGAGATGACTTTCTTGTGTACTCGCTTCTACACAAGGTGCTCTAGTGCTGGGACATCTACAATCCATGACCGGTACAGAAACGTATCCACGGATGGCATGACGTCGCTGACCTGCCGACAACTCGCGACTCGCGACTTCCAACTTCCGAGAAAGATGTGCCGGGCTCAGCACTCCTTACACTTTTTCTTGGGGACTTTTGGAGAGACTCCGATTACCTCCAACATCCTCCAGCTTTCCAAAACGCAGTCATAGTGCGTCTCTGTGTAAGCTGGCACAAACCATCAAGACTGTCGCCAACTTCGTCGACATTTATGGTAGCCCCCTCTTTGCAGCTAATGAGCTTCAACGGAACTGGTGCATCCTCCAAGGCGAGACGTGATCGGGTCCTCGGCTGCTCCTTACCAATCCCTTCAAGAACTTGTCAAAGTCCTGACGCATGAGCCCGATGCGAATTGGGGTTGTAAGGCATCAGTGGCTTCCTGTCAACTCAAGTCTCGCGGGACCGAGCGCAAGGTCTCAATAATAACAGTGGTGACCTGTCCATGGAAGCATAGCAGTGTGGAATTTCGCGAAATCTGTCCTCCCAGAAACTGAAGTCATCAATGACACGACCGCTCAGTTTTGCCACACCAAGCAAAAAGATGAGGACACAATAAGACTGTCCTGGTACTCAGACACCGCCGTGAAGCGGGTTGCAACATCTGCAAGTCCTCTGGACTTCTTTCCATGCCTGACAGCCGTGGCCATGATAAAGGCCAGGTGGAAGCTTACTGCACCGCTGACGGTTTTGCCGAGCCGCGGAATTGCCATGATGCCACCACAGACCAGCATGAAGCCGGTAGCCGAGCCGACCTCTCTGGCGAATCTGGCAAAGCTTCTCGGGTGTGGACTGCGGCCTGCCTTCGAGTTCTTCAGAAACGCCAAGCTGCCCTCACTCTGACTCTTCTGCATGGCTGCGCAACACCTGAACATTCGGGCTTCAAGCATGTCAGCGCAACAGAATCTACCCTGTGCGTTGACTGCAACATGACTCCTCTACAGTCACTCTCCATGCAGGAAGTGGTGGAGTTCGGGATTGCAGGCAAGCGGCCCTCTGAAGGACGCTATGGACAATGGAGTCACACCCTCTGCACTTGAGCCCATGGGGCAGGACACTACAAGACATGCGTGTCCCTTGCACAGCCAGGAAAGGAGAAGCGTATGGCCAGCAACGATTCAAAGGAGCACAAAACTTCGGAGCTGCAATGCAAAATGGACACCG